CAATTTTTATTTAATATTATTTTATTTTAATTTATTTAGTTATATTTTATTTCATATAATTTTAATATGTTTTCTTTATTTTATTTAACTTTATTTTATTAATAAAAATTGATTTATATATCCTTTGGTCATTATTCATAGTCAAGTGGTAATCATTAGAAGTCTTCTTAAGAATTGTGTTAATAATTTTAACTGGAAAGTCAATCTTTTTTAAAATATCACGCACTGTATTTGTCTCTAAATTTTTTTATCTAATGTTTTTTGATTCTGAGCTTCCCATTTGGCAGGACCCGAGTTCGATTCCTGGTACTTGCAGTCTCAAAAAAAAAAAATAATTATTTACGAATAATTAAATACAAGAATTATTTCCAAGACCACTGATAATGGGTATTTGGCAATACTCGAAACAGCTGTATGATCAGCCAAAAATTCAATTAATTAAAATAATATAAAAAATAAAATTTTTGTTGTTGTATTTCACTACTGTTCGAAAAAACCTCTTTATTTAATTTTTTATATTTTATTCTAACTTACTTTATTTATTTGTTTCTACTTTAGTTTGTTTTATTTTTTTATATAATTTTATTTTTTATTACTTCTTAGAAACATAAAATAAATTAATCATATTGTAATTTAATCACAATTTTCTAACTATTTTATGGAGAAATCTGCTTAAAATTATAAAATTACCTAAACGAATACAAAATCTACCTAATTAAATCGTTAACTACTATATAAACTATACAATCTTGTAAGTATATATAACTAAAAAAATTTTTATTATTTTGGAGTTAAAGCTTGAAGTTCTTTTATTGCTTTCTGATCCAACCATAAACTTTTTTACAGTATCCTTTATAAATTATTAAGGAAGTGATATACAATAAACTCATACCTCTTCTACCTAACGACTCCTAATACATCTACTACTGCGCTATTTAATGGATTTTTGAACAAATTTCTTTAAGCAAGCAATTCAGTTAGTAGTACCATATACTCGTAGTCGTGTTTACCTGTAGTATATACATTAATATATATTTGCTTATATACTTGTTAAAATAAAAGTGCTCATTAAAAATACTACAACATTAACAAGCACACGAAGGTAGAATTTTGAACTAATGCGCTACTTCTTTCACCGCAAAGCTCGGCCATTCGTCAGATACAGAGTATCAGGGTACACAGAGGTTGTAGGGTCAAAACTCTTGAATTTCCAATTATTTCTCCTTACTCCACTTAGTCAAGCAATTTCTTTCTTTTCGCCATTCTAACCTCAGTGCCGCAATTACCGATTCAACAATTAAGCAGCATATTTGGCTATGACTTTTCCGCATTGCCACCACGTGCCATTCTGACCTTGTCAATAAATTTTCCAGCGCCCATTAATGAAAGGATATATACGTGTAGCCCTGTATGTTCTGCGATAATGTGCATATGTGTGATTGTTGAATGTAAGGATTTGAGTTAAAAAGTTGGCTTTTATTTATTATTTTGTATGCTCAATCAAAACCGCAACATTTCGACACCAGTAATTCTGTTCGTCCATTGCTTTTTTGCTCGCCTAGACGTGTCTTCTACTTAGTGAAAACGGAAAAATTTTGCTTTTGTTGGAATTGCAAATTACGTAAATTTCTAAACGAAACGCAAAAATAATTAATTATGCAATACAATAAAGATAAATTATAATTTTAATGTATTTTTTATTGTCGTGAAAATGAATTTTACATATTCATTGTGCGAATTTGATACGCGAATTAGACGCCGGACCAGGGTGAGTTGTGGAGTCTGGTGGAGAGAGTGGTGAAAGTGAAACTTGTATTCAGAAAATATTGTGAAAAATTAATATATGTACTTTTTAGACCTTTAAATAATAATAAATATTAATCGGCATTAAATTTTCTTTAGTTTTTATAAATGCTCCTCCTTTCTATCCGCCAACATATGACTTACACATTAAAAAGTTGTCCATTTTGTGGTCCCAAGAGAAAACATATATAAACCTTACTTACAATCAAGATTTCGGTTGAACTTTTGTTGGGGTATATTGATTATGACCAATATTGTTATATATAAATTTATAGTCACATATTTTTCACTGAATATTTTATAATACGAGTGCTTGTGCTTAAGTTGGGCGAAGAAAACTGTGTCCAAAACTTTGTGTATCTGCGGAGTGTATTCACAACTAGAAGTGGCGTTGATGAGGATGTTGCTATATGTGTCAACAAAGCAAGCTTTACCTTCAGTAAGCTGAGGAACATATGGAAATCAAGTCAAATATCTTATAAAATGAAACTCCGTATCTTTGAATCAAAAATAAAATCTCTTCTATGACAGACTTGGATAGGTTCCAATCATATTAAGTCAAAAATACAGACCCATATAAACAAGTGCTTGCGCAGAATACTTTGTATAAGATGGTCTGAGAAAATAAGAATTGAAGACCTGTACAAGAAACTGTTCCAATTTAAATTGGTCGACAAGAATGGCGATGAATTAGCCACACACTTCGAAGATCTGCAAACCATATTGGTTCTAGACGGCCTTACGCAGCAGTACAAACTTAGCGCAGAACTATAAACAGAGAACTCAATAATATAAATTATAACTGGAATGACATACACTTCGAAGATATGCAAACCATATTGCCAGAACAGCAATCAGATGCAATCAGCGCAGAACTGTAGACAAAGAACTTAGTAATACAAATTATTACTGGAATGAAATATGCCGCGAAGCACTTAATAGAGTTAGATTTAGATCTATGATACTTACATACTTACTAACAATTGTCCTTTTCTCCTCGTGGAGCATATAGAGGTCATATGGACAATGGACAATGGAGAAAAGAACAATAGTTAGTAACCATGTAAGTAAGTGATCCTTAAGAGATCATTTATAAGTACTTGTTAATAGCACATACTTTACTTGTCAATAGCTCGACCATTACTGGCGGAATTAACGAACACACCTTCGTCATTTTCAAGGGGATAGTACAACATTTCGAACATTTTACAGAGAAACGGAGATTATTTGACTATGTAACTTCGATGATCTACGCATTCCTATTGTTTAAAAGACCATATTGTTAAAATTAGATATGTAATATAAACAAATAAAATCTATAATATCTGCCATTCCTAAATACATTTTTTCTAGTATAATATATTTCAAATTTGTGTGATATAAAAATGATTATAGCCATAATGATATATTAACAGGAAATATTTCCTATACCATCACTTAAATACTTAATAGGATTGAGCAATGACTTGAATTCGAAAAATACTGCCTCAGAATTAACTTCTTTTAATCTATAATCTTCACAAATCAAAGATAAAAAACAACTCTCAAATTTATATTAAAGATACATCATGTACTACAAGACATCGGCAAAGCATTAATATACACAATACTCAAATTTGCACTAAAAGTAATTGAAGTAAAGCACTTCTGTGATGCTTAAAGTCACTTTTTTGTGACCGGAAAATATTTAATATTTTTTTTTATATTATATCGATTACTTTGTAATATCAACCACTAAAAAATTAGATTCAATTTTAACAAAAATTTCCCATCAATGATGGTTAGTCGGTTTTAATAGCGACAGAGCTTCTTCTTTTATCCAAGTAGCCACTTCTGTCTAGTAAATTTGTGGTATTCTATAAATTTGTAGCTTGACGATATTAGTTTGAATTGTTCGTAACACTTAATAGTTTTTCGTTTGTATTTTAGTGCTGTTAGAAAATAATGATGGATATATTTTTGAGCACCTTTTAATGGAATCAATATTTATCCCTCTACTGAGGATGCTGCGTATCAATAATTTTTTCCCCTTTATTAGCTCTACATGGGAGCATAAGGTCTCAATCCAAGTATGATATCTTAATCTATTTAGAGATAATGTTTTTAATTCTAACCACTTCAGTCCTGTGTAACATAATCTAACAGATTTTCGTTTACCCATTGGATTCCATTCTAATGCGAATCTTGACATATCCATCTCCATATCCAGCACTTTCTCAACCAAGAAACTTAGATATGTTTCTCCTCGGAAATATTCGTTGTGGGTGAATCCCAAATTTATTGAATCGTTTTTTTAGCCTAACTTATATAAAATAAATTTAGTTAATATAATTATTTATATACTTAAGAAATAATCCTGCTTTTGTGATAATATCTTCACCTAATTCATTTCAGTTCCAATATATTAATAGTCTTAAGTTTATTTATCAGCATTACTTCATCTTTAGCATTTGAAGAAAGAAAAGTACTCAAATTATTTTCAAAGGCACTCCTTGTGAACAAACAAAGTTTCCACGAAAGTTACACCCACGTTCGAACAGTTTCCTACAAAACTTGAATAACACCTCCAAAACTTTTTCGCCTTCAAATGGAAAGTTTGGATTTGCATTCATTACTCCAATGCATTACAAGCAATTACTTTCAATTTCTTTTCGAAAAGCACATCAATTTTAAATTGGCTTAGTGTGAATAAGGGGCGAGTCGATACACGTCATTCTGGAAGAAATGTTTTTCCAAATGAACAAATGTGGCCTTGGTGGAATGCCAATACTTAGATGTGGCATATTTGATTTATTGTGGCCAAGAAAGAATAATTTAGGAAAACTTGAATAGCAATCCAAGAAAAATGTAGGTGAAATAATTGGCACGCAAATTTTAATTACTTGATGGTGCAATAAAAAAAGATTTCATTCACTTTCAATGAAGAAATAAAATAAAATTGCAACACTTTATGATAGATAGACAAGCAAATAATGACTAGTTATAAAATATTATTAATAAAAATAACAATTTCTCAAGTACTATTGAAGGTTTCTTCAGTCATAAAAATGTTACACTCCAATTAAATGTATAAAAGGTTTGCCACACATGGTGAACTTTGATTTATGCAAAATCTACATAATAGGAACTTTTGAATGTCGGCATTCATATCCTTCAAACGATTTAATTTCACAACGGAGGTAATATTTTCCATCAATGTCATGATAAGTATCATTACTATTATCCGCGTCCTTTCTGTCTGAATATTAATACTTTTTCCTTCTCCTTTCAGTATGAGTTATTATTTAAAAATATTTGAAGTTTCATTTCACAATTCGTCATTTTACTTTTTATAGAACTTTACTTGATAATCATTTTAACTATTAAAAGTTATTGTCAGTAGGGAAGTACTATGAACAGTAGTGAATTACAACAACATGATTTTTATTATTTATTATTTAATTGAATTTTTGGTTGACCATGCAAGTGTTTCGGGTATTGCCAAAAACTATCTTAAGTTCTAAAATAAGATACTATGCACAAAATATAATACAATAAGTAATGCCTCAATAAAAAGAATAGTATTGAAATTTAAAAACAACTATATTGAATTAATTCAATTATTCTACAGCTGGTTCATGATATCGTTCTAATATAATATAGCAAGTGAATTTGTTAAAGAACTCTTACAGCAAATTAATAAAACTATAAACTAGAACATGCAAATCAAATACAGTTTTGAGTCAGTTAGCTAATGAGCACTGACTCTGAGCCTCAAATTTGGCAGGGTATGAATTCAACACTTAGTACCTGCAGTCTCAAAAAATTATTTACGAATAATTGAATATAAAAAATAGTTCTAACTAAACTGTTGATGGGTATTTGGCAATAATTAATTAATAAATAATAAAAATTTTACTATTGTGATTTACTACTGTTCAGAATACATACCTCTCTATTCAAACAATAGTTTCTATTAAGAAACACTTTAAAATTTAATTTTGATGTTGACAGTAGTTGTTTTTTTTTGCTACAATATCAGATTTTAAATATTATTCAAATATTTGAATCAGTGGCGGCATTAGGTCTCTTGTGGTAAACAAAATACAGTATATAGTAAAAATGATTACTATTGTTAAAGAGAGCCCATTAATGACGATACTATGTCACAATGAAGTGTTTATATATGATACAAAGTCTTTCAGTAAGGTCAATGATACATGAAAGGTGGTGCAAAATCTGGACGCTCTAATCACTCTCTTCATCAGCCATTGTACTTTTGTTCCTATCCTAAAACAAACAAAAGGAGATAAGAGATAAAGAAAGATCAGATAAGAGATAAGGAGATTAGATAAAAGAAAAATAGTGTATAGATCTGAAAACTAAAACCAGAAACAAATAGCAAAACAGTGTTTCCCGAACTTTTAGTAATGTTATGAGGGAATACTTTAAAGGGGTGAAATAAACGTCAATGACTAAGTAAATACTTTTTTAAAGAATTGAACTCTCGTTACTTTTTGAACAAACCTCGTAAAGTATTCAATTATTTTTTGCTTTCACTATATTAATTGATTTTAAGTTCGCAAACTACAATACAATTAAATATAGTACATAGTTTTAAAATTTTTATTGATAATTCCATATATAGCTGCAGTTATAATATCCTAGGACAGTCTCAATGTCGATTATGACCTTTTATATACTTGACCTGAATTTTTTTTAAGTTAATAAAAACTCATTTGTACTCATATAAATATACATATGAGGTCATTGCAAATAGCTTCAATGTAAACAAGACAATTTTGAATCCTTACAAATAAATGAAGTAGTAATTTTTTATGACCTCTCAAAATGTATTTTACTTACGGTTTAAAAATTAGTAATTTTTTTGAATATTCCTACAGTTTTTAACTATTGTTTAAAAATGCATAAATTTAGCTAATATTTTCTGGGAAGAACAATAAATATTTAACCCATTCCATGATTAGGAGAATATTCTTTAAAATATATATTTTAATGTTTCATAGTAAACAGGACGACGATTAGTTTGGAATGCCGTTAAGATATTCCTAAAGATGTTACTTCAAGTCTTTTGGTGGTCTACTGAATTGTTAGAGCCTGCATTACCTTCAATTATTAATTTCCACTTTAATAACGTTGCAATCTCCAAACTTTTTTTTTTTCAATTGCGAAATATTAAAAGACCGACTTCATCAAAATCATCCAATCTAAGCTTTTCACTCGTTCGTTATTCCATGTACGTGTTGTTTTTGATATCGATAATCTCTTACACCTACATTTAAAACCTTTTCGTATTCTCACAATACCTGAGACGCTGATGCTTACTCCATATATAAGTCTAGCTGAACTATATAATCTGAAAACAGAGATAAAGTAGTTGGTAGGGCATCTAACGGGTCACTATGGTCTGTGTAATCAACTTAACACAATTAATCTGTCTGAGGAAATAGATTGTTGACTGTGCCTTGAAGCTAATAATCCTATGATCTTCTGGACTAGAAAGATCATGGGATTATTGGATCGAAAGATTATATTCTCATCTGATATAAGGATGTCGTTTACAATTACAACTAACACACTTACCTTCATTGGGAAGGTGGAATGTCTTCTGTTCAATTAGTGTCTGTTAAAACCACAAAAGACTAGCTAGGATCACTCCACTGAGAGTTTATATTTTCCATTCTGTACTGTTACTAAGCCAGTTTTTGAAAAATTGCACAATTTCCTCATCAATATTTTATTAGTGCATTATATCTGAAACAAGTTTCTTAGAATAAAATAAATATGGTTTAATGAACACTTATTATATTTAAATTCTTTGAACACTTCATATTTGTCATAATTTCAGAAATAATAGTCAAGAATTTCTGGAAGTAAAAGACGACGATAATCCACCCAAAGGTTGTTGTCCATGTTGCTTTCGATTTTGCCTGCCGTGTCGAAGAGCACGTTGCGTACGTTGTTGTCGTCGGAATAAAAACAAAAACAGCGATGAATCCACACAGCCTGTATTGTCAGCGACTAGTAGTGCTACAACTACAAATCTTGAGGTAATTGATGAAACTCGCAGCTTAGACCAAAAGAAGAAGACAAGTTGTTGGCAAAAACTTAATTGTTGCAAAAGTTGTAAAAGGAAAAAGTCAAAAACTCAAGCTGAAGAAGAAGAAAGTGTCATTGCCGAGCGACAATCGAAAATGGAAGGAAGTGGACATGCTACAATGCCAACAACGCCTATTCCAGAGCAGCAACAACAAGGACCAATGTCACCAACGAAACAAAATAAATGTGGTTTGTGTTTGAGTAAAATTTTCTGCTGTCGTTCGGTGAATAAGATCGATCCAAAAACTGGTCATGAAACTGAGGTTAACAAGTGCTGCTTTTGCATACCATGCATTTGTAAACGAGGCCCAAGAGGTTCTACAGTGAGCTCTGTAGGCGGTTCACTGGGTGCAGGCTCCGCTGCTTGGCAAGATCCGGAACGTGGCATATCTGCAACAGATGCTTCAGTCTTACAAGGAGTGGATGAAACACCAAAAGAGTAAGTTAAATTTTTCAAGTAATTTAGCAAATAAATATTCATATTAATATAAATGTATTGATATAAATAAAATTTTTAAGTGGCTGCTGTAAACGTTTCTGGAGTCGAGTATTTTTCTGTAGAAAAGAGAAGGTACCCAAGCCAAGCGAGAGTAGACGTCAAAGTATCAAGGCTCCACCACCACCGACAGAAGTAGATGTCTTTTTCATAATAAATTCATTTCTACAATTAAAATTTATTTTTTCTCCTATTAATTTACAGGATACTCGACGTAAGCTTCATGTGGACTTAGTGGAATACAATTCAAAAATGAAAGGTGCTATACCAGTGTTACCACTATTTTTGGCATGGTTTTGTGCTATTTGCAACACTGTTGTTCCAGGGCTTGGCAAGTCTTTTCAATATTTTTTTCTTTATATTTATTTCTGACATGATTCTCAGTTCCGGGAAACCCCAGTAATAAGGGGTATTAGTAATGACAGCTATTTTGAGCAATTTTTCCACTACGATTTATGTTAATATAGCTTCGTTTTTATGTATAGTGCTTTTAAAACCGGAATTTCTCTATTAATGTAAAAATGTCGTTACTTTTTACAGGTAGATGAGGTATGTGGTTGTTGTTAAGGTAATTAATGTAAAAAGTTTACAACTACATACCTAAATAACTGGAGAAATAAACTATATCAGGAAATAAACTTTTTGTAGCGTAGTATAAAATTTGCTGAAAATAGCTGTCTTTACTAAAGTTCTTGTGGAATGGATTCACCCACACATTATATAGATATATAATTCCCTTTATGATACTTATCTTTTTTTATAGGTACTCTCTTATCTGGTATATTCTGCATTTGTATTGGCATACCACGTTTTTCTCAGCACGATAGCGCAAAGGCACGCGTTGGGTCTCTTATAATAAATATAATTGTGGCAGTTGCTCAGCTATTTTGTGTACTCTTCTGTTTCGTTGGTTGGGGTTGGTCCATTTGGTGGGGTACAATTATGCTCAAATGTGCCAGTGAGTTTATGAAAACTTTCGATTAAATTGCTTGAAATAATATATTTATAAATTTTTCACGCTAGGAAAACTTAATAAAATCAAGAAGGTGGAACAGCTTGAAAAGGAAGAGGAACGTCGACAGGCTGAAGCCGCAGCTGCTATTGAGGCAGCTGGTCGTGCAATAGTTGCTGCAGAAGCCGAAGCGGCCAAAGCTTAAATACCCTAATTTTTTCATTTTCTCTATGTTTTGGAGAAAAGCTACAGGCTAAGCCTGCAGCAGCTACTGCAACAGTTTGTCGTACAATAATTGCTGTCTATAAGGAACGATAATAGCTTTAATACAAATTATTAACAAAATCTAAATTTATTTAGGAAACTTTAAATGCGAGTAACAAAGAAATCTTCCATATGAATAAATTCCTTATAAAATGTGGTCTTTCATTAAATTCTGTTTCAGAATATAAACTTATTTTGCTAAACAAAAATCTTCCACAATATGTACTTCCCTATATCAACCTTATCACTAATGAAATAATCCATCACAAAACATTTTGATGTCTCCAATATAAAACTTCAACAACTTTTTTAAATAGAAAAAAAGCCTTTCAATATAACATTTTCATAAAAAGATGCTATAAATTCAACTATTTCTAAATAATAAATAATTTATATAATAGGCAAAACCACTCCATAAAATGTGACTTCCAGTAACAAATTATATTTTGAAAAATCTTATTTAAGTTGTTATCACATTATATATTGTATACTAATGTAAATCAATATATTCAATGTTTAATACCAGAGCAATATTTATAAGACTAAATATTTGTTCTAGAACCATCCGATTATATGTTTGACTTTACTAAGTCGTTAACTTATATATATATCCCATTACATGGATATACGTACATTACATGAAATTGATTAATCCTAAAACAACTAATAGGATTATTACCGAAATGCTACCAACAAAATAAAAAATTTTGATAACTATTTATATATAAAATTTGTACATATCACGGGAGTATTAAAAATAACCCATATGTTATCTAACTCTCTCATAACCAAGACACACATAAGTGCACTTATTTAGGCTTTAAGCAGAATATCTTAAGAACATAAACTCCACAAGTCATTATTTAGTTTTTAAACAACCCAACATTTTATTGGTTAAAATTTGTTGATTTTTTGTACTTAAAGAAATTTTACAAACAATTTTTTATATACTTTATTAATATATTTGTATATACCAAATAAATATATATAATTATATTTAAGAGTGCTAAGCAATTTTTTTAAATAAAACTAAAATAAATACAAATGCTTTCGATTTTTATTTAATAGTAAGAACAATCCTAAATTACAGATAATTAATACCAGGGTGTTCATAGATAATGGGAAGTTATTTATAGTTAGAAGAAGACTAACTATAGGTTAGTCTTCTTCTGCTGTTAGGTTAACAGCAAGAACCTATTCTCACATCAATTTATTTGATAGTAAAGTGTTTAGAAATAATTAAAATCATTCATAGAAAAATGGACCTTAATAGTAAAAACCTATTTTATATTGAAGTATTTGATACTAAAGTAAATGAAAGGTACTGAACAACAGTTTTTTGGCCAAGGAGATATAGAGGCATGATAGGTTTAACAACGCTCATTTTTAAAATCAGATCAATATTTTTGCAAGGGTGTTACTCTAGTCATCCATGTGTTATAACATATTGACATAAATTAGTATATGAGGAAGCAAGAGAGGCCTAAGCCAAATTATTGTTATAATAATATGTTGTCATAAGTGTTCTGTATTATCTTTGAAGTAATACATAAGTAAAAGCATAAAAACAGATAAATAACGCAGTAAGTTCTTGGTGACCAATTCACATCACTTAAGCTTGATATTACACATCCAGGAAATTTTTCGCCCAACAAAGCCAAATCAAATCATGGTACCATTTTTAATACTACATATCTTCAAAAAACATATCTTCAGAAAAATTTGAATTCATGTTGCTGAAGCGATTAGAATCGACAGTTTACGATTTACCTCAATCACTTCCAGAAAAGTAGCCGGCATTCACCTACAGACCACATACTACATCATACAGTGACTGTTTATATCTATTTCATTTGCAATAGAGTCCTCCACACAGATGTAGTATCTTCTTCGAGACCAAGGTTGTCAGACAAAAGGTTCTCAACAGGCCACCGCCTAACATCTCCCTGGACGAACATCTCCCCGGTGCAGCAAGAACTTAACAGCTTAACATCAGGATATAGCCGAGTGCTAAGCAGTTAGTTGTCACACATAAACACGTCTATTCCTAGTGTGTGCCCAAACTGCAGCTCTACTAGCCATGACATCGCCTATCTGTACTCCTCCATCACCACCAACCACTACCAATTCACTTCCCTACCCATGTAATCGTCTTTTATATCCTTTAATATCATCTGCTTACAGATCCTCATTGATTAATTCATCATTGATTAAAATTTAATGTAAAAAGTCGTCACAATTGTTGTAGGAAGTTTATATATAAATTTAACATTCCGCGACTGTTAAACGTTCTCACATTGTAAAATGGCATATCTTAAACTTAACGTATATTGCCTTTGATGAAAGTTCTTTTCGGCATATGTCACTTAAGCAATGATACTAAATCAGAACCACAAAGCATAAACTTTTGGTGCGAGCAACGTATCTTTATTAAAATTCTACTACTTCTATTTAACTCAAAATTTTTTTTTATTCAATAAAAGTCACATTTTTAATCATTCACTTTTATTATTATTTCTTTTTTTTTAAATGATATAATTCGCATTTAGTTTTAGTTTTAAATGTTTTCTTGAATACCGCTAAATTCATTATTTAAATTATTCAATATATATACTTATATAAACTGAAATTCTTTTTTGCCCATTTGTAACTCGAATATTTTTTCCTTTTATTTAAAAAAAACTTTAAATGTATTTTTAAAATAATTACATACAACACAAAACAAAATTAGAATACAAATTCATTAAATATTTTTTTTTAACTTAATTATGAACAAATAAAACCTAATAACATATATAAGAAAATTTACATACATATATATGGTAGAATATTTACAAAAATAAATATAAATTATAACGTAAAATTAGGATCACATAATATAAAACTAATAACTAAATAAAAATTATATTTATATGTATAGACTAAATATTATTAAATTAACTAAAAATATTACAAACATAAATGTACAAGGTATATACCATATATACCAAAGAATCTATAGTTTGGTTGCCGTTTATTTGTAGCACAAACGATTTTACATATATAAATTAATAATGTTTTAAAGCTTTATATGAAACACTCTACTAAAATATAGCCAAAATAGTAAAATAGAATTTTTTAATATAAAAATAATATTTAATTTTTTTTTTTTATGAGAAATGACTTAAGAAAATTAATTTTTGCTTGGTTATCTTTTTTTTGAGTATCTGTCGTTAATAAAAAGAAAAACAATAATGGCACAAACTTAAAAAAGATAAACTGATAAATGTAAATTTTTAAAGTTTATAAAATTTTTAATTTCAAGTTTAATTATTTTATTTTTAATTTTTTAATTTGTACATACACATTTACAAATATGTACGAGTATATAATTTCAGTATTACTTATGATGCTAGCGGACGTTTTAAAATTTCTCTGATTTTCAAGTTTTCTTTATTGTTTCATATAATATGTATATATCTAAGCATTTTTGTATAACTATTTATTTTTTTTATAATATTTAAAATTCGAATTTTTCGGTTGAATAATTTGTATGTGTGCAAATTTTTAGAAAATACAAAAAAAAAAATATTTAAAGCAATATATATGTGCGATTCTATTGAATTGAAAGTTTTTAAGCCGAAATATTTTTGTTTATATATCCTTAAATTTTGTTTTAATTACTTTTTATTATTATTATAAAAAAATAACTACTTTCACAATATTAAAACTATATTACGCTATGGCATAAAATTTCAAAAATTTGCACACGTTATTTTTATCTATTTAGATTGTGATTTGTGTAATTAAAAAGATGTCATAACTATTATATATTATTTCAGACAAAATTGTTTGCATAAAGTGCTGCTAACTTAATTATGAGAGGCGTATTATAGTTAAAAATCCATATTACAGTAGAATCCCTATAGTACGGTTTCATATAAATTGAAATTTAAAAGTACTGCGAAGAAATTATGATCACATTCATCGTCAGTTAAGGTAGAAACCCAATGAAACTGGGCTTCATGAAGTTTATAAATTGCCAAAATCTTTATAGGAGAATACTTTCTCACAGGCGTCAATACCAGCGTCATTAAAGAGGCTCCAGCAAACAAATACTTATAAATATTAGTTATTGACTCTTATGAGAAAATTTCCTCCTCTAAAATTTATTTGCATTTTAAAAAATGTCAAACACAATTTAAGGATTTAAGTAGCAAAAAAATCATAACCATCCTTAAGCCCCTTGTAATGTGAACGACTTGAGTGTTTTGACTCGTTCAACTCAGATTCACATAGTGCGTAATGAATCTACAGTTTTACAGGGAATCTACTGTATACTTATATTATCAAATCCTTTAAAATTTATTACTTTCAATAAATTAATGTTATTTAAGTTGTGCTTTTATACAAAGTTAGCGTCGAAATAATTTTTTTGTAATTACATAAAAATATGTAGAGTCCAACTTACACAACTTGTATTATTTTTTTTTTCTTTAATAGTATTGGTATGGGAAAAGAACAAAAAAATAAAATGATTTTTTTTTAGTAGGCTATACTAGCTACAAAATACAAATATGCGTACAAATTATCCAATTTTACAACTTTGTTGCTATTGTAATAATAATAGTTGTTGTTAAGTTTGTTCTTTTTCTTTTTTTGTTTTTATTTTAGTAGGGTTGATAACAGTCATGGAAGTCTATAAATTTCCTTTTTAATGTCATTTGAAGTGTTCATTTCTTATTATTTATTTAAGTATTTATTGTATAACACATTTCTCTTTGCCACCACTAATATCGACTTGTTCTAGTTCCCTCGCTATCTCATGATCATCTTCGATACTATAAAGAGATGGTTTTAAATTAATAAAAATTTAAAATAACCGGATTAGAACTTAATAACATACGCTATTTCCTGATTATGCAAATGTTGTACTAATTGATCTCTCTTGTCAACAATAGCAACCAATTCTTCTAATAATAAACGTTCCTTCTCACGTTGCGCCTCTGTTTTGCGCCAGTCCTCTACAGCTTGAGCTGCACGTAATTCTTCGTTGAGCATTGTATATTTCCTTTCCAAATCACTTTCTTGTTCACTATAAAATAAAAAAAAGTTTTAAATAAATTTAAAAAATATTTATTTGAAA